TCTGGGCTGCAAGTGCATGTTGCCAGGTCGTGTTGCGCTTCTCATCAACCGACACTTCCAAGTCCTTCTCCTCAGGGCTGCTCTCAATCCATTCTCCACCCAGCCTGTGTTTGTGCTTGGGATTGCCCCGACCCATGTGCAGGACCTTGCACTTGGCCTTGCTGAACTTCATGAGGTTCGCATGGGCCCACCTCTCAAGCCTGTCTAGGTCTCTTCCCTCCAGCATGTCAGCCGCACCACAGAGCTTGGTGTCGTCGGCAAACTTGCTGAGGGTGCACTCAATCCCATTGTCCATGTCACCGACAAAGATGTTAAACAGTGCTGGTCCCAATACTGACCCCTGAGGAATGCCACTCGTCATCGGTGTCCACTTGGACATCGGTCCGTTGACCACAACTCTGAGTGTGACCATCCAGGGCATCCACGTAAGTGGAATATTATTCATTAATACAGGATAGGTAGTTCAGGAATTTTTTCAGGAGTGCAGAGAGAAAAATGAGCAATAGAGAGCATGTCCTGGTTCTAAGTAGGAAAATACAATATTCGATTCAAGTGAATTTTCTTTTCTTTATTTGGGCTAATTTTTTTCATGTTTTATACTGATAGATCAAGGGGTTATCACTAGTTATAAAGGAAGATAAATCAGCCGCCCAGCCTGTAGTCTTCTTTTGGGAGCATAATCATCTTTATTTCTCATTTAAGCTGATTATACCCTGATAAGCATATATTTGCATTGAGATTTTTATGAACTTTCTGAGAATCACTGTAGATTATATTACTGAGAATTTTTATCTATAGCTACAGGGTGTTGAGAACTCATATTGCTTATATGAGCTTGGACCCTGTTCCTAGCTGCACCTCTGTTGCTGGCTGACTGCAGGCAACAGAAATCGTTCCTTTGGGCTTCAGTGGCCTCATCTTGAAAACAGGAGTAAAGGTGTGGATGTCCTCTGAAAGTTGCTTTAGTGTCTGCCAACAAGAAGTACATGCTTGGAGCCAGTTACTTCTTTTGTATGCTGATATATTTGTATTAGTGATGCTTTGCAGTGTAGCAGTCTGTGCAGTGGAATAGGGATGCGGTGCTGCTTTGTGCTACATGATAAAACAAGCACAGAAGAGCATTGAAGCCCAAGCCTGTGAGAGCTGAAGCAGTCTCATAACATTTGGGTGGAAGGCACTGCCAGCTTTGGAGCAAGAGCAACTGCATTTTGTCCCTGCCATTCCACAAGCTTCTTGGCTGATAAGTGTGCAGTGTAATGATAGCTGGGAAGTCCTGTGTGGTCCCTGATTTTGTTCCAGGCTGCATGAGGCTGACTGATTTTACAGTTTTGTGTTCTAAAGGGATGTTTGTATACCAGTGTCCCCAAGGCTTCGTTTTTCTGGAGGAGTTGGGCCAGGGCACAAAATCCTGCACAGCAGAGGACAAAGGTATGCTTGCTGTACAGCCTTGCTGGTAGGGTGCAGTCTCCTGTGGGGAGGTCCCATCCTCTCTGTACAGTCAGACCAGATGGGAAGCAAGGGTGGGAGGTGTGCATGGGGAGACCTCGTTCCCACCCGCAGTGCTACCTTCCTGAAAGTCCTACTGACCTGCTCCTTGAAAGATTTGATAGGATTGTGATTTTAATATCAGGAAATATTTAGATCGCATCAACCATCTCCACATGATCAGGAACATGCTTCCCTGCTGCCATGTCCTGAGCTTCTCATAAGCCAGAGATTGAAGTTGTGATTGTAGTCCATAAAGGCTGTGATACCAATAAGGGATGACTTGTGCTACCAGACACCTTCCAGGCAGAACCCAGGGGCTCCTGCACCCACAGGGGAGACAGTCTGGAGAACAGACCTCTTCCACATGTGAATTAAGATTATATACACCGCTAACAATGCAGCTATGATCCTTATGCGCAAATCCAAAGTATGAAAAAGAAAAGCCTGCTGCCTGTTACAAGCCCATCTGCTCTGCATCCTTGTGAGCCCTGGCAGCAGTCCCATGTGGTGGTGCTGCGTCTGATGCAGGGGAAGGCAAGCGTGTTAGGAGTGCCGGTGCTTGCACACTGGGATGGTTTGTGAATGAGCAGGGGGTTTTGGTGAATGAGTTAAGCATCACGAGTTAGCAAATTTGTTCTGTAAAAACAACCACATCAGGCTCTTGCTTTTTAGAACTGTGCATTCTTCATGGCTTCTCGATGTGTTTTAAATGTTATCAAGAATTGGCATATTTTTTGTCATAGATTTAAAAGACCGTTAATGACTCGGCGAATATGAAGTAATGGTGTTAAACAACGGGTTAGTGGGCATTGCCTGTGAGAGCTGCACTGTAACTTCTGATGTGAGCAAGAGAGGCACACTGTAAAATCAGTGCTGGTTTTGGGTGCACAGTGTAACTGGTGCCAGTCATGTGGTTCTGCCCTTAGTTTGTAATTTAAAGTTAGGATGGTCTTAAGTCCACCTGTGTTTTGAGTGTCCAGACTACTCTTACTGCTCGTGTGTTTGCCTTCCCCTCAATGAGGGGTGAGAGAGATGCATTTTTTGTGGGTACAGTTTTGTTAGGATTGTATTGTTTGCTGTGTTCACTCCCTATAGCTCCTGGTTTTGGTGTCGTGATGCTGAAGGGATGCTTTGGTTTTAGAGGATACTTGGATGACCAGCAGCATATTTCTGTGCTATGGCAGTTGCTCTCCGTCTTACCAACTCTACACTAGGTAGATAATTTTGTCATTTGTAGGGCAAGGACTTGGGCTTTCAGGACAGGGACTGTGTACTCTAATATGTGTATGTACATGGTAGATATGTCTGTGCTTTTATGAATGTTACCTTTATGTAAATAGTGAACCCCAGAATGCTGAGAGAAGAGTTATGTGACCATGATTATTATATTTTTAATGTTTATATTTTTTATTTGTATATTGTGAGCTGCTTCTGGTTTATGTAAATTTGAGTTCCTGGAAGGAGAGACTTCAAATACTGTGTTTGCATTGCAGTTTTGATTCTCAATGTGTTCTTAGATCATCTGTCATTTTTTTAATATTGGGATCCACAGAGTAGATGGATATTTATTAAACTTAATAGAGCTTAAAGCACTTGCTGAGATGCATTAAACATGAGATAAAATTGTATCCCTTACAATTGTAAGGCTATAAATTTTTTAATGTTTTGCTTTTCTTTTAATTGTTGAATTAATGCGGAATAATTGCTTTGCTCTGGGATGAGCTTATCAAGAGTAATTTAATATAAATTGTTCAAATTTAGGATATTTAATCTACTTACTGAAGACATTTTGTTTATATGTTGATAATACATCCATTGTTTTCAAGAGGAATTCTGCCAGCTGAATACCTCAGTTGGTGTTCAGCTGTAGTTGACGCATATGTGTAAAGCGATAAATTGAAGATTAAAAAAAAAAAGGAATAGTTTCACTTTGTTTTCTGGAACTTGATTGTTTATCCCAAGCAATGACCTGTATCTTATATCTGTATAAAGTATTGTGGAGTCAGTGTCCCAACCACCAATGCTGTCTTCGTGCGCATCTTTAATATCCCCAGGTACAGTAACAGAGTGGGCTTTTTGATGCTACACTCATGAGTGATAGACTTTTCTGTGCTGCCTCCCTGTAAATGATAAATAGTTTGTTTGCAGTGTTGCACTTCTGTGTGATGGGCTGGCAGCTAGTAGTTTTAGATGAGATCACGTATCTTTAAGCGGATCTCTGCCACTAATTTCTGAAGACTTAATGTACTAATAGAGAGCATCACCGTAGAAGTTGTCCTTTGTTCTCTCACACTTCAGTTTGGGGGTCAGCTTACATTTGGAGCTGTGTCCAAAAGCGTCAGTACCTTGACCATCACTTTGCTTTTATTTTTAATTATTTCCTCTTGTTTTCCTGCATCCCTGTGTTGCGTTTTCCGTTTTTATAGTAAGATAAAGATGTTTTTAGTTTTCATAAGGATTTTTGGTTGCAATATTCCTGTGTTCTGTTTGTCTTCTATGAGTAGCCTGTGGAGTATTTTTGATGAGCACAAAGTCATCTTTTGTTATCTTGTCCAAACCAAACTTAGTTTATCCTTTGTTTTATTTTGCCTGGAAAGAAATATGTAGACAATCTGGTGGCTGAGAATAATTATGAAATATCTAACTTGTTCTTTGTAAGACAAGACACTCTCATGTACTGCACAAAGCTTGCTGGATTGCTGAAGGTATTGAGGGCAAGGTGAGACTCCGCATATTAAATCAGACTGTTTCCTGATCAGATCCAAGATTCTGTCTGCAAGACAGCAGTCCATCTACTGATGAGTTAGAGGGAAGTGGAAAATTGTGTCATGTACTTTGCCAACAGTATTTTTGTGTGCATGAAGCTAAAACAAATTTCTTCTGATCTTTGTAAGCAGATACTATTTTTTTGTTGCAAAAGAGGGGTATTTCCATGCTGCAAACTGAATGTGAATACCATGTGATTGTTTTTAGAGACAGCTATTTCAACTTGCACTGAAATTTTTGCAGAAGAATGACCTTATGTAACAACCTTTCTTTCTAATTATGGACTTTAGGATTCTTAGGAACTTGAAAACCGGCAGAGAAAGCATTTGTGATAGAACTAGGTGTTGAAGCTGATGGAGTTTTGAATCCACCACAAAAAAACAAACCCACAACTGGAAAAAAGTAACAATGAACAGACTGTGTTTGATTACCAGGCTATAGACCTTAGCGTGCAGTGCTTAAACATGGAGGAACAAATTTTCTAACAGGCTGGTGCTATTGTGTAAAGATGGATTTGAGCCAAACTCCCAGATTTGAAATCCCATGAACTTCAGCCCAGGCCAGTCCTTCGCTTAGGTTAATCTCAAACATTGCAAGCACAGAAAAGGTATTTGAACATTCACAGTAGCAACTGGAGATCTAAAAGGGGAAGTTTTGTGCATAATCTGTTCGCTATTTGCACACACAAGGTCCTTATCAATGTCAATGTGAATATTTGTCCCCTTGATCGTTATGAGAATGTTTTTAGAGCATCTTTGAAAACACCCTGCAGCATAGCACAAAGGGAATGTTTCTGTCATGTATCCTAAGTACTTGAATCTGTTACTAACTAATCTCTTTAGTGGGAAGAACTTTATATGACTTCTGTAATTTTACCCAAATAATGAATCACTTGCACTTTGTCCTCACCTCTGTGGTTCCCTCTGACAGCCCTTTCCTGTAACGGCAGCTGTCATCAGGTTCCTGGGTTGCGTGATGGATTCCTGCTTGGAGGACAACCGGTTTATTACTGGTTTAAGCAACACTGCCTTCTAGATGGGGACTGTAGTGGGTAGATTTCAACAAATTATCAGTTATACTCAAACCAACCAGAGAGGTTTATGTGCTGGTTTTAATACGCATTGTGCTCATTTATTTGTTTTCTCTTTTGCAGCAGAGTAAACTCTGGTTTCTTCTGAGTTGTGCAGCTGCTGTAAATGGTAATAAGACAGCAGTGTCAGTCACAGTAGTGCTGTGATGGAGATACACATCCTGCACTTGCCGTATCTGAGGGTTGCATCTGGAGCTGGAGAGGGGAAAAGATTAACATGAAAATGAACTCGTGCAATTAACCAGTTTATAGGGAAGCTCATGAGGGATCCAGCTGGTGGTGGCACTGGGTTGTTAAAACTGTTCTTCTGAAGAAGCTAAAAGAAGAAATTTTAAAAAAATGCACATATGCACTATTCAGTGGGCAGAAGTTTTCTTATTCTAGTCCTAGAATATTTGTTAAATTCTTAGAATATTTCTTATTAATAAGTATATAATTACCAACTTTATCTCAGATGTACTTTGTGTGTGTTTCCTGTGGAGAAACCTAAACGAGCATTTATAACTGAGGTAGCAGCACCGTTGTAAAAGATGCAGGAATACATGGAGATATGAATATTTTATCATTCTGTGACAAAGCTATCATCAGAGCACGCCACCTCCTTAAACTGAGCTGTCTGTATGACGCTGAGTTGTAATTTATGCCAGTTTGCTTGACTGCAGCGTGGGACCTGCCAAGGTCCATCCCATGAGTAGCTGCAGCGAACTGTAGTTGATATTAAAACAGGTAGAAGATGATTTTGGAATTCCATACTGGCAGAAGTGGAGCGGTGTGGATCCTTTCCCTTCTCAGAGCCAGGTGTGGAGTGGCGAGAAGCCTGGGGAGAAATGGCTGTGACTTTTGTCTTGAGACCAGGTGACATTGTATTGTCGCAGTTGCAGATTGTCACAGCAGTAAGAAGTCATGACAAATACTGTGGTACAGCTCCAGCTTGTCCTGACTTCACTGTTTTCTCTCTCTCTGCACTTCTGTAGAATTATCTGGTAAAAGCTAAATGATGTAAGTCTAGGTCTAGAAATGAAGATTTTTTTTTGAGCAGTTAGCATGAAAATAAGAAGGGGCAACACTGTATCCGGAGGGCCATCATTAAACAGGAGAGCTTTCCGAACAGAGAAAGCTCTTGGTGGTGTGTATGCCATACTGCAAGAGGAGACAGGGTGCAAGGATTTGGGAGTATTACGCCATTCCTTTTCCAAAGCTAGCGTTTAGCTGTGCTGCACTATATGGTTAGAGCTCTACAAGGTTAGCACACACACGACAGACTATTGAATCAAGCTGCTTTGTTGTTATATCTATGTACCAACTGTTTCTCTGACTCATACCCCCACATACCCCCTGCAGTGATTTTGTAAATCAGGGCAAAATTTAGAGTACTATTTGTTTTCTGATACATATTTCTAAGATATTGCCAAACAGAAAGCTAAATTTAAAAACTATGATTTTTGTTGTCGGGGGTTCCAGACATGCCAAAAGAACATGTGTCAGCAATTTTAGGCTTAGCGCCATGTAATTGTGAAGTATACTTATTTTTATAGATGCTCTTGGATGATAGAAACTGAGAAATTTCTGTTAGCTCTCTGAGTTACGTTTACTGTTGCTGCTTTTTGATTATTACTGCCACTTCAGGAATGTATATTGGAATGGAAAAAAAAAGAACACAGAGAACAACTCTTGTTTATGTGTGTGATGAAGTTGTTGTGTCCAAAGAGAAAAATGTTTGGTTTTTTTTTTTAATGGTTTGATTTGTCTTGCATGCTCATATGGACAACCATTGGGTCCTGCACATATATTCTGTCCTTATTTCCTTCATCAGGTGTTGCCTTCATTTGTGAGTCAGTTTGCCTCCTGTCTAATGGCAATTTATTTTTCTAAATCGTGTGATTAGTTGAGCGGATGGGGAAACAGACTGTGGCTTTGGCTATAGACAATGAGACGGAGAGACAGACTCTCTGATACAGGGAAGGGAAATGTGTTTGAACCTCAGATCCATCCTACATCATAGGGTTAGCATAACTGAGCTGGGAAATACAGTGGCATGATTTCTTCCCAGCTCACACCTGAATCATATGTCAATATTAATATGTAACCTAGTGCTTTGAATTGAAGCACCTTTAGGAATTGTTCCCAGGCTTACTAACTTCTTAACCATCTGAGATATACGTTGGAGATACACCAAATAACATCTAACCTTCTGTCGACAAGGTTGGCTTTCCTCCAGAAGTAATCTTGAGTATACCTTAAGAATAAAATGCTGCTGCCTAGTTCCTTATCTAAAATACTAATCTTTGAACTGTTTTGTAGTGATTTTATTCCCATTCATGGATGGCGGTAAATATTTTCAGTTAAAGTAATTCTGAAATTAATGTTTGGCAGTAGGATTATTTCAGAACTTAATTTTTGGACAGAGACTTTTAAATAAATCTGGTGAGGGAGACTTTGAATGTATTCTGCATTATTTCTTCAATTTAGTACAGACAGAGTATGGTATTTTACATTGCTGTAAACTTGGCTAGTTACATCACAGTAAAGACTTAGGCTTATGTAGTTTCAGTTACTGAAAGATACCCACCTTAAACATGTAGGTTTGCTCATGGCCATGTGTTGTCAGAGCTGGTGGCTGTCATTTAATTGTCTGGCAAGTGTTCCACTGCATTTCTCTTTCCTGCTGTCACTTTTGTGGCTGTATCCAGCCCTGAAGCATTGTGGATCTGGGCCAGTGGTTAATTTCTAGTCTGTGTTGCTAATGTGCAAAATTTTATAGTCATCTGCTAGCAATTGAGCTGTAGATGCGAAAGTCAATTCTGTTAGTTCTTTGGTGATAAACAATAGGATTCTAGGTGATACCCTGTACCCTGCAATCACTGATCTGAACGGATCTGTAGTAGTTACTGCCTTCTGTTTTGTGTCATGAGAAATGAAAGATTAATCTGTTACTGCCTTGCTACCTTTGTTTTTTAATAAAGACCTCCCCTGACTTACTGTAGGAGCGTCAGCTCAGCACTCTCTCCGTCCTGTCCTCTCTTGAGATGACTTGGTGACTGTCATCCCTTTTCAACGCTGGGTCTGTGGGGTGAGATTCTGATGTTTGTAGACAGCTGCTGCTTATCAGCAGGGTCCAGCCATGGACCTTGCATAGACTCATGTTGCTGTGTGGTGAGTCAGATCATCTCACTGATCCAGGTGAAAATTAACTTTAAAAATACCCCGAAATGTCATGTTTTTATCAACTCGGAAAGGGCCCTACCACAAATGCTGCTGTGACATACCCTGTATCTCATCATCAAGGAAAAAAGCTTGGTCTTACATATTCCTCACCATCACTGCAGCTCTGAATATGTGAGGTGCTCTTATGGTGAGAGCATTCTGGATAGACATGGGAGCACAGGG